TGGTTTTTTATATTATTAGTCATTTGATGTGATGTTTTTAATCTTATATAATTTTTTTATAAAAAACTGACTTGTCCAATTGTACATAATGTAACAGTTATGGATGTTAAATCAATCAATCAATCAATCAATCAATTGTTCAACACTTTTATGCCAGTAAAGTAGACTCTTGATATACTGATAAAGTTGATGAGGGTAGGTGGAAGTTATATTTTTGTCTAGTATTCATGTTATAGACATCAGAATTTAATTTGAATTTATCTTTGTTGTAAACAACAAATAATATCGTTTATATACAAGATGAAGTGTAATGGACCAAGGACCGATCCCTGGGAGACTCTGTAATCTCACTGGGAGGCTACTTGACAAATATTCTTTCATACGATTGCCATCTGTGTGTGTTACTTTTACGCGTTGAGTTATCTTTCTGTGATAGGATTTGATTACCTTAAGTGGAATACCATGGACTCCATATTTGTATAATTTATCCATGAGAATGTTATGTTGAATACAGTCAAAGGCTTTTGATAAGTCTAATATTACACAGTTGCATTTTATTTTATCATTCAAACTTTCTATTATGTTTTCAATTATTGTGGCAATTGCATTGTTATTAGATTTATTTTTCCTAAATCCAAACTGAGGTTTATTAACACTTTGCGGACCAGACACATGATATCATGCTTTTCGCTTTTAAACGTGGTGGACCCATTTTCAATTCATTTTTGGTTTACAAAAATCTAAACCCTGATTCTAAATTGAAATACAAAGCATTTCTGATGAATGTGGCAAAGGCCAGGGCTACAGTCCAGATGGTGGCGGCAGAACCAGGGTCACATGAAGACTTAGTGTGACTTAGCCCATCAACTCTTACCCCACGCAGGCCTCATGTAGACACCCCTGGGCTACTCTCGGGTGATATGCGGAAATATACCCTTGTGAAAATTGTGAAGAGTGAACATTCCAAGGGGAAGCATCCTAGGCAATGCCATGTTTGCGCAGTTAACAAAAAAAGGACTATGACTGTCTACATTTGAAAGTGTGTAATGCCACTTCACAAAGAGGACTGTTTCCAGAAATATCATACTCTCAAGCCCTTCTAGGAGCATTGGTAAATGTTCTCCAAAAATTTTAGTTTATA